TATTAGTATTGACTAATTCACCACCAAAAATTTAAATGTTAAATGTTAGGCATTTCAAATTGTGGTTAACCAAGAGTTAAATTTAATTAATTTCCCGCAATCAGAAAGTTTTTAATTATTTAACGACTATAATGATATCAAGTGCATTAAATTGAATTTTCGATTGGATTTATAAAATAATTTGTTATAGTTGGTATAAATCAGGACACGGGCGACGTGTCAATGGTTTACCGCGGGACTCGGCTTGCTGAATCGTCAACCACCCGCCCTTTTCATGTTATATGTAGCTCAACAACAACCCAATTTATATTTATATTCTGCCTAATCGTCTTCAACTTCTGCGAGGCTTACATTAGTGAATAAATAAAAAAATACATGTTATTGCTCATTGTTTTGTTTGTAAATCAGATCTGAAGTTGATTATTTATTAAGTTACCGACGTTAAAAGTGTAATAAAAGCTAAGTTGTCATTGACTTGAGAATTAAAAACGTAATAATCCCACGCCATCGCATTAGCTTTAACAAGTTAAGATGAAGTGCTGTTAAAATACTCGTAGTTTTTTAATTCACCTCGAAATTAAAGAATTTCTCAATTCGTCTGCATTATTATGTTCGTTACCTCAGAGCTTCGCTTCTAGTGAACCGAATTTGATGATTTCTAAAATGCAGTTAACACAGTATTGTAGTTTTATAATAAAAACATGATAAGGGGAGGTGATTTTAATACTTGAATTTCAAAAATAATTTGGTTATATTTGAGTAGATATGCTGTGCTGTGGGTAGGAAATGCACGTTTGTCAGGTCTGCGTGTAAGCTCTATGGCGCGGCATCACTCCTCGCCCGGCGGCCATTAGGCGACGCTAAGTACTCACAATCACGCCTTCGCGTGCCCATCACAGCGCGAGAAGCGTTCCGTTATACGGCCGCATAGCGCGATCCGTGCTATTTCAAATATTTTTAACGCCAACTATGAAACGGTGGATGCAGTTTTAGAGATCCTTTTTGATATAGCCAAAGTATCGGAGTTTTGAATAAAAATATTTTTAACACCTTGCATTTATGTACTGTCTCCAGAACTGGTGAATAACATTTTATACATTAAAGAAAAACAATTTACCTCTTTGCTTATAAGTAATAGATGTATAGACAAAGCAAAAAAAAGTTTATATTATTATGAAATTAATATTGAGTAAAGAAACTAAATTAAACTTTTGTTAATACTTTAAAGTCGCTTATTGAATGTTGCGATTTATTCAATATTAACAAATTGTAAAAATCTGTTTCAGCCTTGTCAGAAGCCCAGCGAATGCAGTCTTTTGAAGTATCCTTAAAAACGTTCGTTTGCTAAGCTTGTGACGAGATATTTCTGCTGAAAATTAAAATTTTTAAATCTGAAGTTGAAACTTTGCTCAAATTATTCACGAATTTCGTTTCGCGTTTCGGTAGTGAGAGAGAGCATTTCAATACTTAATTAAATCTTTTACCATTACAAAAAACAGAACATATGACGAAATTCGATTTAAAAGACAATAGGAAACAAGAGACAAAACATACTACAGGCCCTTTTGACCTGTAGCGCTTATTGTTCGCTGAATTCAGAATTTCCAGACATCATTTTGTTTCAATAAAATCAAACAAAACAAATAATTTTTTCGGATGCAGGAATTCAAAACGGTATTATTATCTTACTAATTGGCCAAGTATTAACTTAATACGGATAGGAATCCGTCCATTTATTTGAAATGTAATTAAATTAATTATAACTTTGTATAGTTTGTATTGTCGAGTATCATACCGCAACTCGATCTCCGCTCTACAGTGCGCTAAAAGTTTTTACAACTTTGAATACTGCAACATTCTTCTACTTCAGTACAACAATACTCCTACTATAGTATGCTTCTAAGTTAAACTGAACAGATGATAAACGAACGATTACGTTATGCTAATTAACTTGCGAGCTTCGTTCTTTTCCTTCTCTAAATAAAGCTTGTTATCAGTTTTGAAAAGTTTCTAATAAAAAATAACAAAAATGTAATGCTAACTGTTTGAAATTTATGTTTATATATCATTTGTTAAAAAAACATTCCTATTCATGGTATCGATAAAGATTGAGAAAAAAAATATAGCAAGAACAACGTAGTGAAATGAGGCTATCTAATATAATGAGGTTGATATTACTCGGTATCCCCTACTATATTGAAAGACTGGGGTGGTCAATGACTCGGAGCTAATTTCGGTCGACATTCCCTCACATCTTAACTGAGAAACTATCATAGTAATGATAAATAGAGCACTAATTTAAGAACTCCAGTCAGTGTCATAAATAGTACTATCTTCTTTTTGTCTATATAAAAATCTATGCTTGTATAAATGATTTTAGGATTTCATAGCGACAGATTTTGATGAAACTTTGGCAGAATTCTCTGACGTCTTCAGACTTATACATTTTAAGCATTTGCAAGAACGGAGATTAAATGTTCTGCGATTACACCAGTCAGTACACTAATTTGTCCAATTTTTATGACCATTTCCCATGAATGACATATTTTACACTAGCTTTCGCTCGAGACTCTGTCCGCGTAGAATTTTTATAATAAAAAACAAAAGTGTTCTTCCAGACTATACTCTAGGTCTATACCAAATTTAATCGAGATTCATTCTGCTGTTTAGGCTACAAACTCTAAGAAACATCCATCTAAACTTTCGCATTTATAACTTCTCCATATATATTAATAAGATTGACATATATGTAAACCGGCAGACTATGAATTGTTTATTTTTTTAGTAATAATGGTGTTTGTCCGTTAACGATTCATTTGTTAAATAATTATTAGAAGAAATTAAAATGAATAAGAGCGGCGATTATTTTTTAGCCTCGCTCGAATGTCGACGGAAGTGCACGATAAGTTATCAGCAACTCCGATCGCGGCTCTCTCTATATTTATATTTTAACTCCGTGTTAGCGGTACACCTACTGTGAAAAATATTTATTACTCAGTAGAAGCGATATCGCGCTTACCGCCTCAGACCGTCTAATTATATAGACCTGTCAACTCCTTAATTAATTAAAAAGGTAAAAATCAAATAAATGAGTTTTATTTTCGGTGTAAGTGTAATAAGTGTAGTAAGTGTAATCCTCGTCAATTCAATGCTAAACAGTAGTAGATATTTACATTCATATATATATGAATGTTTTAAAAATACTGATTACCTACTGACTACCTAAAAATTTGATGTACACATTTAGGTGTTCAAATCAGGCCGGCGTTAGTGTAGGGCGCGGTATGGCGACCGCCTAGACTGCCTAGACACTGGACCGCAAGGGGCTCCAAAGGCGTGCCACACATAACCATGTATATGTCCCCCCAAAATACGAAAAAAGTAGAAATCTATGAAGAAATTTAAGAAGCTTAAGAAATGTATCTCCAACCGTTACACTATTTTAAGCAAAATTTGGTACGTGTCTATGCGAGAACAAGGTACGAAATCTCTAATCTATTTTTAGAAGGTTGGTACAAAGGTTAATCATTATCAATGTTTTTCATAAACACTTCCGGATCAATTTACAATTTTCAAAATCAAAAGGAATGGAACTAACAATTGAAATATTACTCTAAGCAGATTAGATAATTGTGTTAAAAACTTTCTATTTGTTTCCGAGTGAATGCAGTGTAAATCCTACACTTAAATAAAATTGAAGTTATAGTATAACTTTGTCTTATCCAACCAACTGCGAGACAGGAGTTTAAAGGGATTGTTAGTGAGACATGTAACTTGTAACTGCGTATACATGTTTGATGTACCGAAGAGGAACTTTATAAACTGTTTAAAAGAATAAAGTGTTTAAGATTTTTCTCGACGATTTATTTCTTTAATCTACTCTAGATATCTAGTGGAGGTGTTCATGTGAAATGTTGCCGTTAATTGTTTTTATTTCAAGAAGGATGTAAGTTTTTGTTTGAGTATTTTACTGTATAGTTTTAGCTGGTGTAGCTTTCTTAATAATGACGTTTCAAAATCTATTCATGTAATTATTGAATTCGATTTAGCTTTCTAATGCAATTAGTTTTTACCTTACCTAAAATACATTTATGGGCTACTGTGAGTTGCCTAACGCGTACTCATTCTCTTTAAATAAAAAGGACAAACAGCATTGTAATTGTGGTGTGGAAACACACTGAACAGATTCATTTATGCTCACGTCACGTCAAAGTACAGTCAGCAACATCACAAATAACCGCAAGAGGGTAGTCACGAAAGGTGTGGTATATATTTTTGTAAAGCCAATGTGTGTATTTATATGCGTGTATATCTTTTTCATTGTTACTAGTTCCAAATGATCAGTATCTAGAAAGCTACCAATCTTAGTATTTCTAGAAAATTATTCAATCAACTTTGTGTTTCATATAATTTCTGATATGTTGTGCATGATTTTTATTTTCATCATCCTGCTCTGCTCTTATTTCTGCCTTCTAAATAAATGTGTCACTTAAAAATTTTATTAATATATTTTAAAATGTTATAGATATCAAACATTTTTATGTAACCAGTATAATGGACAAATTTATTCCGTAAATTTGGCCCATCATACTGGTTACATATTATTAACTTAAATTGTCCAAGTAAAAGTTACAGGTAATCGATAAACGACTGCGATTTGAAATTGATGTATTTTACTTTATGTTTGAGCCAAAAGACCTCTGAAAATTTGAAGTCAACTTAGGAATATCAGTTTTTATTTTAATCTTTATTCCTTACTTGCACTAAGTTGAAAATATTATAACGAAATAAAGCTTTTAAACCTTTTTTTAAATACCAACTTTATATTTGAACATGAAATAGAACCGAACCACTGTAATCAAGTCATCTCGTTTTTTATAGAGTCGACCTTCTTGCGGTGAGTGAGACAAAAACATCACCTAACGGTTCGAATTTCAAACCGCATTCGATGAGCTCAGCTGTTGGATTGGCGAGTGCGGAGATGGAGGCGTGGCAACGCAGCATCGTAGCCCCCACAGATGTCGCCCTGATCCGAGCAGTGCCGCGTTCAAATTTCGAACAGTTGAATCCGTATTATAACTGTTCGCCGGCGAATTTTACCGCCACGCGACGCTTTTGGCGACGTTGCCACTTCGCGCTACGAAATACAAGGTAAATTGTGGTACGATATTTGTAGCCCCCTGCGTGTACGTGAAGAGGGCGCAATGAAGCCTCACCTCGCTGTGTTCGGATGATCGTGGAACTCTCTAAGCGTATGTTATTTAAGTGTACCACTCTATTTTAATGGTAATTAATTTGAGTACGACACAGCGTACATAACAATATTTTTTGATACGTGAAAACAGTATTTTTAAGTTTATGATAACGTCGATTTATTCTGTAGTCTGTTATGTATAGAAATATTGTATTGAAATATTTTTCAAATATTTGTCTTTACGCTATTGTCGGTTTATAGTTATACGTCGTCGTCATATACGTCGACAAAATATAAATCAAGTTATAGAAGTTACCTCAGTTTGTAAAAGTTTGTTGTTATTAAATTTAAAAAGTAAGTAATAAAACTTGTATCAATGTAAATTGACATTTTTAAAAATAGCGACTGAAAATTGAAAAATGAAATTGCTAGTCCGGACTTTTTTCAGTAGCCAGACTAGCAATTTCACGTTTATTAAATGTTTCATCGTCCAAATATTGACTGGTGAGTCACCAGTGGTGACACAGGATTTTCGAGTATATGTTATCCAAAGACAGAGTCTATTATTGATTGCAGGATGAATTTTGTAAATCTTAACATATGAACACAGAGTGCATTTTCGCACATATTTGATGCTATAGAACAGATCTAGATATATGTAATTGCAGTACACTTATTCGATCGTTAAATACAATGTACGACGCTTCATTACACTTGTCCCTTAACAGTCTAATTGACTGTGTTAACGTTCTTTGTAACGTGTTAATGCAACACTTAATTAGTTCGCGGCAAATCACTCGAATGAATGAATGTATGAATGAAGTAGTCGCTTCTTTTCTACCCATAAACATTAAAAATGATAAGAAACTGCTACACACCATCTTAAGAATACGCTTTGCTCACATATAAAAAAATTGTAACGTTCTAATTTCTGTGTATCGTATGAAAATTACCTGTTTGTACAGCTACAAGGTTATTTAACATTTTTTGATGCATCTTACTCAACTTTAATCATTTGGTATTGCTGTATTTCTCTTTTTCATTCATTACAAAAAAAAAGATGTTTTAAAATTTACATTGAACTTTCAAATTATTATACTTTATTGTATAGTGCTTTTTATAACATTTTACGTTTATTACAAAATTTAAGTTAATAAATAAAATAAGCGTTCAAATGTATATAGAACACATACTACTCTTTGTTTGCAAGTGCATTGTTTTTTTTTTATTTATTCGGTATTTGCATATTTTTTTTTTCACTTTATAAAATTCACTACAACTGATTGTATGCAGTACTAGCTATCGACCGCGACTCCCTCCGCGTGGAATTAAAAGAAAACCCAAAAGTAAGTAGCCTATCGGTTCTTTCAGACTAAGCTCTACATCTATGCCAAATTTCATCTGGATCCGTTCAGCTGTTTAGGCTACAAACTCTAACAAACATCCATCCATCTAAACTTTAGTATTTATGATTTAGTAAGATGACAGTGAGACATTGTAATGTATTTCTTACACTATTCCTTAACTTCATAATAGTATGGACAGAACTCAAAAAAGTTACATTTCAGTCAATTTTATCGCTAAGACTAGAAAGACTATATTAGAAACAAGCAATGCACGCATCTAAGATCATTATAAAATGTCTTTGATGTTGTATAAAGTGGACCCAAATTAAATACGTTTACAAAATACACATTGTTTATGGACCTGGAAATTAAAAAAAAAAAGAGTACGTTTTCATTTTCGACTTTATCAAGCATTTTACTAAGTTCATTTTCCTTATCCACAATGTTTCGGTATTTCGAACTCAAAATAACAGCAACATTATTATAAGTCTTCCTTCTCTCAAGTTTCCCCGGGTGGGTACGTAAAGGTCTCTGCCCTTTTACTATCGCAGGGTTTTCTTAGCAACAATTGCTGCGGGTTTGTATTCTGAAGGGTGTGGCGTGGGGAGGCTTCGGAGGGATTCCGCCCAAAGGGGTCCAGGGCGGCCTTGTTTTGTTACCCTCATTCGTACCGTGAATGTGATGCAGTTTCAATTCTCCTGATTTTTGCCGTCTAAAAAATTTTAATTTTAAATTTGGCGTATCCACCGGTTGAAAGTTTGTTTCTCGTCTTTTTATTATACAAAAAACTCAAGTCTGTTACAGTATTTTTAATTTTAATTAAAAGTGAAGTAATTAAATTTGACATCAAAATTCAAAAGTGACTCAAATCAATTCGTTCCTAATTGGTTCGCTGGTGGAATTTTTGTGTTGTCTTTTAAGGTAAATATTTTCTAAAACTCACTTCTGTTTCGTAAAATAAATACTATCCTCAAATTAAACGTTTAATAATTGTCATTACAAATGTTAAAATAATTTGCGAAATTGAATTGTCCTTAATTATATTAATGGAAACACAAAAGTTTATTCTTACATTTGTTTATCGTTGTGCTTGTTCTCAGTATTACGTTCATATCGGCTTAATAACGCAATGAGGTTAAAGGTTATGCGTGTAACGTAATTAAATTTTATTTTATCAATAAAATTTTCAGTTCGACATATTTTTGTGCGCGGAAACGGCTTGGTCATTAAAATTATCGATACTTAGAAACTAATGCTGGCTGTTAATAATATCGTAAAATTTTAACGGCTTCAACGTCGCAAAGCTTAGCGCCCGACAAAGCATTGTTTAGTAGGAAAATGTGAGATAATATTAAAACTAGTGATAACAAATTGGTCGAAATTAGGAACATAATTAATTTTAATATTGATTTTAAAAGCTTTTCCACTTTTCGCAACATTATCTTCAACTATGCGACATTTCACGTTTATACTTTTACGCAAATTCTTTAAAATAAGGTAGATAGTTTTTGCTTCATGTGTTAATGCATAGATTTACATATCTTATCTAAAGTAACAAGAAACCCATGAAACATAACTGCAATATCTCTATTATTTTAACTTGATTGAGGAATTTAAGCAATCTTACGGATGCTTGTTACAAGATGTCTCCAAAACTGTTATACGAAATCAATCAATTTGGCACATGTGTAGAGCATAGTCTGCAAGAATATATAGGCTAACACAATTTTTTAATGCCGCTCAAACGAAGTTACGGGTGACAGCTAATTTGCAAAATTAATGAACGTATACTTATTTGCTACTTGTAAGGTACATTTATTTTTAATAATTACGATTAAGTTATATATTCTTCATATGGTTTCTATAAAATCCCATTCTAACTCAATCATGTAACACCAAACTTCTATCTATCAATTGAATCTTACAGCCACATATATCTGAGCAACATAAAATGCCTTGTTTTTATAGCTCCTAATATTAAAACCTCCGACTTTAAAACACCCTTATCAAAACGAACAGCGGCGGTAAAACTATATTTACAATGGGCAGTAAATAAACGCAATTCTTGATAAAAAAAGTAATTTCGTTTATGATAAGATAAAACAGTACTTTTATGCACCTACGGCTGCTCTCTGTTAAATAATTCTCTGACTCCATCCATTGTAACTTAGTAATTAAAACTATAATGATGGCGTGAACAAACTACGATATTAATGCGATTATGAGAAGCTTCGCCGCGTACCTTATTAGTGTGGTTGACCATACTAAAGAGCTTATGCAGTTTGAATAACCATTTTAGAGTAGTTATACCCTTTTTCTAATACTAGCTATCGCCCGCGATTTCGTCCGCGTGGAATGAAAAAAAAAACATAAGTGAGTAGCCTATGTGTTCTTCCAGACTCTCGTATAGATCTCTAACAAATTTCATCAAAATTCGTTCAGCTCTTTAGGCTACAAACATCCTTTCATCCATCTAAACTTTCTCATTTTTTTATATTACTACGAAGTATGATTTCAAATTCGTAAAATACCTTAGTAAACATATTTACCACAATGAATACACAGACGAATAGAGACCCTCCACCTTTTTGAAGTCGGCTAAAGAAATACGTTGAATGAAAATAATAATTTGCATTGATTACTCGATATTGGATAATGTAAATAATATTACCGTCCCGCCACTCGAATAAATATATGCCGAAAATATTCATATTCAAAGAGATTAAAACTGTCAAAGGGATATTTCATCGTTTATTTTTATACAATTTACTTTTGAAACATGTCGGCTCAAAGCTGACTGGAAAATAAATTGCGAACAAACGGACATTCCCTACTTCCTCGTGCCGTTGCGAGTTATGCAAATGTTAAATTATTTAAACTTCGCATAATCTCACACTAATTAATTAGTGCTCATTTGCTTAATAAATTGAGGCTTCACTTTCAACGCTCAAAAATGAGTCTTATCACTTCACAATAAGGTTGTAATATTTTTGCTTTAAAGCAAAAAAATGTATTGAGTTATTTTTAAAAAAAATGTTTTGTTTTGACTGAATTTAGATCTTTTAAAGTAAAAAACGACTGTAGACCTTTTTCTGTAAAACAATTCCTTGCACGTAAATATTTTGTAACTACTATTTATAATGCACAAATTATGCCAATTATGATCGCAAAATTCATGTAAAGATTAATATTATTTTACGACATAAACATAAGTAGTGTAGCAAAGGAAAAAAAAACGAATAGCTGCTTGAACATAAAGTCGCGTTGTAAGATTGTCGCAACCATTACCACTTCTTATCTAAAGAGTTTGTATAAGTGGCCAGTGTTATGGCCAATTGATTGGCCATTTAACGTGCACCGTTAATAAACTTGTAAACTATACAATAACTCGTATCGAGAGCACAAACTTCGCATTTGTGATGTGTTGAAGTATAGTGTTGTGGTTTCTACTGTTAGCTCTAAAGATTTAATTCGGTAAATATTTTTTATACTTATGAACAGAACTTTAATCAAAGATTGAATGTTAAAAAACCATTAAGTGGCCTTTACATTGCAAAATAATATTGAAACTGTCGAATTAAATGGTCAAAATAATATTTTCAGACGATTTTAAGAGAAATTCGATATTTGTACCGAAAATACTTTGCTGCCTTAAAGCTATTTTAAAGTTAGACAAGTTACCTTCTACCCTCAATAAGTTATTTGAAGTAGGTAATTCAGATCTTTCAAAAATTAAGCCCCATACAAATATTCAGAGAGAATAAATGCTCACGTAAGATTTCGTAGAGTATAAATGAAATATAATGAATAGCAACTCAACTGCATTTTTGTTCTACCAAGGGTCACTGAGGCCAACTAGTGCAGGTATCCCTCAATTACTAACATAAACTTAAGGTCGATCAGTATTGTTTAAGTTCGTGATTTTCTCACCCACTTTGTACCAAACTCTCGTGTTCACCCAAGTCGAAAACTATTGTTTACAGAATATAACAAAATTAAGTATATCCGATAATCCCTCACGCAACTTCAACAATAGAACAACGTTTGAGGTTTAACCTCTCATAAGTCTGATCATAAAGTTATGACAAAAGGTTTTATAACTTTCAATTTTTTTAACGAAAATTAAATCGTCAGTAAATATTAAGTTCCCTTACTTTTTAATAAGCACTCGCGTTCTTACACAGATTACAGTCCTGATACATTTACTGTAAAAAGCAACGACTGAATGTCTAGAAAAACATGCTTTATTAAACAATTATAACTATACTAGTTTTTGCCCGCGACTCCGTCCGCGTGTAATTAAAAAAAACTGAGTAACCTATGTGTTCTTCCAGATTATTCTCTACATCTGTACCAAATATCATCAAAATCCGTTTAGCCGTTTAGGCTACAAACTCTAACAAACATACATCCATCCACTAAATTTTCGCATTTATAAATTAGTATGATTTTATTGATATAAGCATTGACTTTAGTGAATAATTAAATGCCGGCTAAAAATTAAGAACTAGAAATTAATTACACTATTCGATATACTTTGTAGATTAATCTTTTTTTGTTTTCCTTCCTGTAGTTCCTTTATCACACATTCGGAGAAGTGAACAATGACCTTAAGAATTTACATTATATATGCGACATTCGGTCCTCAGACTGAAATAAAACGAACTTAAACAGGCTCCATTGTCTCTTCCAATAAAAGAGAGGTATCGTATAAGTTTCCATAGATATGTATAGATAGTCCATTGTGTATGGATGCTGATTTGTGCCATTCCGCGTGGAATAATAAATGATATACTAAGGAGCTTCGACATAGGGCTTAACGTTGAAAACTCGGAGCGTACGCCTGTTTTATACTTGATTTTTGCATTCAAAGTTTATAATAGAAAAGCCATGTTCTCTTTATTCAATGGTACTTTCAGTCCGCATACGATGTACGTTTGAATATTTATCTATAAATTTTGAGTTGTTTCTTTGTTGAATATTGTTTAAAATGCATATAATTGTCAACTCCTACATCATTGGTGTTCGATAAGACAAATTTAATGGTAATACGGTTTTAATAAGTTTTTATCAATCTTTACCTGTCTATATCTTATAGATACTTTTATCCATTTATCTATCAAGTTAAACAATTTACGCGTTACGTAATTTAAAAAATCAGCACGAACTCATAAGCATTGATTATTTTTTTTTCGGCTACTAATAGCCTTAGACTAATCTAATCATTTAATTATTCTAAAGTCGTTAGAAAAATCTTTAATTAAAAACTTTAACATTTTACTTCGCAATGAAAGCGTTTTTCTTTAGCGTTTACTTTTTTTAAATGTAATAATTAAAGAAGTAAACGAAGTCAAAGGAGACATCTTTAAAAATATCTTGGAAATTGAAAGCGTATTTTAATTTCAGAGACATCAAACAGTATAGACTTTTTAATGAAAATGTGCGCCAATTTAAATTTAAAGTAGCAAACTCTGACCTAAAGGTCATATACATTTCCTTTTACCGTTTTTCACTGAAGATACAGAATGTTCTAAAAATGAAAGAGCATTTCATATAAAGCAATGACAAATTATTTTTCGTTTGTATTAAACTGGGACGAGGAATTCGTATTTTAGAACCAAAATTACGGAACAAAGAAATGTATTCTTTAAATAAAATATTGTATTTATTTGTATTGTTTAGTTAATAAATAAATATCAATGACTTTTAATTCAAGAAAAGTATTATATTTAAAAAAAAGGAATTTTAAATATTGTTACTATTTTCAAGTGTAATTAATCTATTTATATTGACAAAGAAATGTGTAAGCGTAGCTTATTTTATGTTAGGTTACCTCTACTACTTTTAAAAATACCAAAAAACCAACATAATCTTATATTGTAGGTATTAAAGTCATGATTCCTAGGAGAAAATCTTAGGTATAAATGAAATAAAGAATTTTTTTCTTCATCGAATGCCATAACTAACATGCGCTAATAACAGGATATAGTTACTTCGTTATACATAACTATAACTCGTGTTTCCCATCCGTCAACAGGTTTTGCTATTACAAAACAATCGGAATCCTGCTCTGATTCAATCAGGCAAAAACAGATCAGTCAAGTTATGTCTGCGCCCATCGGCAACGGAGAGCAGTCGGTGCAACGTGAATTGAACACTGTTATTTGAGAAACAAGGTCCGTTGTGGTCAGCACGACGGAACAGGAAACCATGCTTAAGGAGCGGCAGAGTTTGGAGGGTTCGCCGTCTACCCCAGACGAGTGTGCGGGCTGCGGGGCGAGGATACAGGACAGGTGAGATGATCTCTATCCTCGTAACCGCTGTAGACATGGCGCAGAAATGCACTAAATGACATTACAAGTAATTGAAATGCAGCAATAAACTGATACGAGCACACGACCTCGCATAGAAATGGTAACTTTAATAGTTGTTTTACAAGCATTATAGATTGAAAAATGCAGCGGCCAACATGTAGACACGCCATTATCAACATGCCTACTTTTTGTTATTAGTGAAGGCGCTTGCTTGATATTCACATACTCAATTTTCATAAAACATACACAGTTCTTTTCGTATATCTTCTAGTGTCGGTTTTATCATATTGCAATATAAAGGGATATGGACATCGTCTATATGAAGTTTTTAATATGGTAAATTTTGTTAAATTCATTGATAAAAAAATACTTATGTAAAAATACTTACTAACCCAGAACCTCCTGCCTTATAATTTGACCGTTTTTCTATCAATTTCTCTAGGTTTTACCTATTGGCGGTGGACCGACAATGGCACGGCACTTGCCTAAGATGTTGCGAGTGTCGACTACCTCTCGACACAGAGCTGACTTGCTTCTCTAGAGATGGAAATATCTACTGCAAGGACGATTACTACAGGTAAGGATTAGAATCACTTACTACATTTTTATTAGATGTTAAAAACATATGGTAAGTGCAAATATTAAATTCATTGCGAATTGCTAGCGAATATTACCTCGCGAATGATAGCTTTGCATTTATTGGTATTAAAAATTTGTACATCACACTATTTGGACATTTTCTTTCACCTTCGCTAATCACGCAATAATATTAACTGGTAACTTGTAAATCATACCTAAAATATTATTTATTCCGATCATATTATTTCACTGTATTATTCAATTTAATTAAGCTGTACTCTTGAGTTTTTTTTTAAACTTAAGTACTAAAACTTACATTGTAGGGCTTCTAGAATTTTGATATACACATTAAAATATCCGTGTAAAGAAAAAAGTTGAAAATAGTTTATGATAATTGCACGAAAAGTCAAGTGTAGTGGACATGGGGAGCGTCGAGGTGGGGTCGTAATTAAGGCGGGCGGCGCGGTGTTCTGAACGTCACTCACGATCTAACACACTTGCGTAGCTCCCACACCTGTCGGACAGACCAAATTCATTATGCATCTGTTTCATTCCAACAAACCTCAAGTGTATCGTTTTAAGAGGCAACAATTGCTTAATTTGTTAACCTTTTTTATGTAATTAAATATGTTCATGGTGATTGTCAGATTTATAAAAAGTTTCGATCACCATCGAGTAACAATTTAATGTGGAATGCAAAACGAGTTCGGTAATTATCACTGTGTTGTAAAACTTGGTGAACAATAAACACATTTTTTATCAACAATGAACTAAACAACAAACTATTTCTAACACTCGCTAATTAAATCAAATGAATGAAAATATAAGTAAACCATAAATGCTTTTGTGATCATTTTAACTGGGGGTCAAATCTAAAGAAGTTAGTAAATATTTTTGTAGGTGGGGTTGTTTGAGTGCAACATATGGTATAATTGTGATATTACTCGAAGTGTTATTAGTATGAATGGGATTTAGTGAGGGTTTATTATTGACATATGAAATACCAAAATATACAACATTAGAAAAAGTCAAACTAAACAAGAAAAGGTGTCGAAAAATGTTTAATTTCTAGACATCTTCGAATTTTTACAATTGTCTAATAATGAATAGATGAGAAAAGGAAGTGGTTGGCAGAGGAGAGGATGTGTAGGAAAGGAAAACGTTCTGGACATTTTCCTTTCTGACCATAGTAGATAACTATCATATTGTGGATATACCAAAAAACACACTTTGGGATTTTAGCAATCTATGGAGACCACTTGATCGTTTGCCATCAAGTTCATAAAAAAGGAATACAACGCCTCGGTCGTGAGTTCAGTCTTTCTGAATCTTGCCTTAGGTATAATTTTTCACCTGCAGTAGACCTCTTTTATCTGCACCAACTAAAGCCTCTTGTTCCAGAATGTTCTGCGTGAAGCGATGTGCCCGCTGCGGTAATGGCATCACCGCCAATGAGCTGGTGATGAGAGCACGCGACATGGTCTACCATCTAACATGCTTCACATGTATCGCGTGTGGCACTCTACTCTCCAAGGGCGACGTATTCGGTATGAGAGATGGATTGGTTTACTGTCGGCCGCATTACGACAACGCGTGTATGGACGAGTACTGTGAAGATGATATGAACAGCTATAGGTAAGTTTAAGTAAGTTTACGAGTGTTCGAGAATATTAACTTATCTCCACAATTGAGAAAGGTTAAATAGAAGACATGTATGCTAATGAAAATCTTCCTTCTCAAACATTGCATTAGGAAAATTATCTTTTTAATTAAAAATTCTTTCTTTCTGTATAATATTCTACATAATAGTAGGACTAGTAGGTAGCTAATAGATGACACAATTTAACATGCCAAAATATTTTTTATTTGCTGACATACATAACATGTAGTTATTCAAACTAGTTATACAAACCAACAGCATCTCAAATTTCTCGATATCTACATCCTCGAACAACTACAAACTAGACGTTACTACTCGTATAACTATCGTAGTTACGCGATTGTTAGTCTCTATTCGCTTCCGTTAGTTCTGATTTGGCGCATCGAATTCTAACTGCATAACCAAATAGCTGCCGTTTCCTGGATTTGTCGTCAAATTACGATGAGCTATCAAAATGTATGCATGGTTAAGTTGGTAACGTCATCTAATGTTTGCACGTTGCTTCTTCTATAAGATATTTTCCAAAACACAGAAATACGATTTTAACCATTAATTAAAAAATGCAAACTCTTTGAAAACCATACAGAATCGTTACCATACATATACTATAATAAAATGAATCTTATCAAAATATTTACATTTTTTATTATACAGATGTCAAGATATGCACAGCGAAGGTGAATCTCAATCACAGTTCTACAACGGAGGACCAAGTCATAAAGGACGACCCAGAAAAAGAAAACTGGCTCAAGGCTCACCTGAGGACATGCAAACAATGCGAATGACCAGCACTGCGCTCGGTAAGTGAGAACGTTAAAAATCTAAAGCGCCACTTAAACATTTTTTTCATTCAAAGTGAATATTTAACTCACAAATTTAATTAAAGTCTGCCAGAGAGTAAATATTCACTTGACTGAAAGACGTTTATAAAAATCTTATTCAATTTCCCTGCGCATTTTAAATAGAATTTTTAAGCTTTCCCGCGTTTGCTATTTTCTTTGTATCAGTTTCTCCGAGGTTGTGTCTACGCCAAGGTTAGTTTCCTTGTAAATACGCTCTTATGACTCTGCTATGTAACTTATATTTGACGTGTCTGGTTTTGTACCCTTTTTGTGGAAATGGGTACAATCGGCAAACTTATACATATTTCATTGAACGGCGACGGTCGCTTCAAATTTAGCAGAAATCTCAGAAGGGAAAGCACGACGCGTTACTCGCGCTAGCGTCCCAGATGTCAATTCATCCCAGTCCGACCGTAATCACGACTAATGAATAGGCGACGCATTGTCGAAATTGGTTTCGTCCCTTTCTCGCGCAACGTGAGGTAGTAAGGCTGAGCGGGAGGTAGGTAGAAGTGAGCGTTGGATCTCCTGCCGGGGTCGGCCGTCTGGATTATTCTTTATAGCGTCGAAATGCGAGGCACTCATTGAGTTGGATTTGGTTTGTGTGACTTCTCGACCCGATTAATCACAGCGCTGGACTGAATGGACCAAGAAACACTACTAAGTTATACTTTCCATTGCCCATAAGAGGTTACGCATCTGGACATCCTACTAAATCGGTGTTAAACAAGTGGTTGCGGCAACGAACATTGTTTTATTTACAGGCGCTTACTTTTTTATTCATCCTTGAATAGTTGATATAAATAATTACTTGTTCCATATCATCAGCGAAATTTTTTTATGTGTATATGTATAATTTTATGTTTTGTTTATTACCCTTATTTGCGTTTATAACGTTTTTGTTAGTAAGTAATAAAGTAATGTAAAAATAATAAAAAATGTTATCTCTAACTTTATAGTTACACGGATTATCGACAACATCTTTACTAATGACTGCTAAAATGAATTATCAATTGAAACACATGCTTTACTTTTATCCCCCTTAAAAAGTAGACGAATTTTCAATGAAAATAAAATTTTATTTTGATGATAAAAAAAATCTTATATCTAGCGCAACGAGCGGAAACAGAACACGAATAAGTGGCTTCCCGCCAACTATACCTACTCTTTGTTGGCACAACAACGCCACTCGAACGTTGCGCGTGACGGTGATAATGGTAACTAAGGGCTCTTCAAAAACTACGTGCCTTATCGAAAATCGAAAAAATCAGTTCTTAAATATGCTCACCTTTTACTCTCATATTTGATATTTTTCTTTACTAAATTTGCATGATTTTTGTAACTGAGTTTACGATTATGATTGCATATGTAAGTGTGAAATCATTTAGATAAAGACAGATAAGAGTTTCAAATTTTAAAACTTTATGTAAAAAAAAGTGAGTACAAACATAATAGATTTTAAATTGCTAACAACAGTTTTGCACTTTAGATTATTTCCCAAAATAATAATAAGAGTTTGTTCTCTAGTCATATAGTGATAGATTTGAACATACAACGAAAATGTTTTTAATATTCTGTGTAACTACAACGCAAAAGGTTAGTTTAACATAAGCAACAACTGGACCCCCCGGTTCACTTAGTAATTTATTAATTAGATCAAAATTTCTAAATAAAAGGCAGATGTCTGGGTTCCTCACGCGGAACGACTGCCACAGAGGCCGCAATAGAATTTATTTTTAATTAATAAAATTTAATAAAACAAAAAATAGAACGCGTGGTGTTCGAAATGACATTCCCGACTCTTATCTCATAATCATCGGGGTATGTCGCTTACGGTAAAGTCGTTTAGTGTTCGAAGCCATTTCTCATGTGCGAGTCTATTCACACCTGCAGTAGCAGACGATTGGTTGTGTTTACAAGTTACACAAGCCAGCCGCAAGTGTATAAACAAATATATGCGACAGTAATTAAATTTAACATGTAATTATAACATTGATTAAATTAATTGGATCGTAGTATCCGCACACAACTTGAATATCAAGACAATATCTATGTCGTATAACGATTGCCTTTGCATTAATTTACATTAATATTTTCTGAGATTAGTGTAGTTATTTCTATTCTTATGTAGTTTTAGACGTACTACGAAAGCTTTCAATAAGATCTATTACATGGAACTTATTACTCAAATCTTATTTTTAATTATTAATCATTATTACTTACTCGAGTTTCACTTATAAACATACTGCGGTTTAAAATTTATTGCAAATGAGCGGCACCTGTGTGATACAGTAATCAGTATTATATATCATTTTTTTCGTCTACACATTTAAACTATTGATATTGTTTATTGCTATCGTTTTATAGATAAACATTTTGAGGTTACTTCGTTTTTAAATTTGTATAAACTACCTTTAATTACTTATTTGAAATTATTAATACTGGTTGAATTTAACCTTAATTTTGTGTAATCAATGACTTTTAAATATAATTAAGTTTTTACAGTATCGTTTTTTATGTTTACTTTGATATAAACTTGTCAACAAGCCTAATTAAATGTGACGAATAAGAAGTTTTTTCGATTCCAATAAAAGGCATATTCGGTTATGTCATATGTCGTATGTCGTGTTTAAAAAATGTTTAATATTATCAAAGTATAATTAAGGATACATTAAACATACTTGTAAATAGGTATTCATATAGCAGGAATAAATGCTAACCGATAATTTTATTCATAACAGACACAGCTTTTCGTCAAACTTAATGTTTATTGTGTTTAAAAAAATATTAAGCTTTTTTTTGTTTAGAATATTTTTTACTAGTGATAAAAGGAAGCGTTATGTGCATTCCACTATAGCTACTTATTTATTGCTCAGTATTGCTACTAACATCTTTATTGAACGGATGTCGTCAGATTGTGACAGGAGATAACAAGCATTCCAACGATGTGCAGTCAAAACACTCCGAACTGGATAACCTTACCTTTATTACGTGCTTTCGAGAAAGTAAAAGTTTTATGTACAAAACATAGATTTAAAACATCGATGTATGTTATTAGTAGATCAAACGAAATATCAAATCTTATAAGGTTTCATTCCATTGTATTAGAATTGTGTGTGTTACATAAATGTAAATAAAATCAGAAATAAAATTCTTTCCTTGTAAATTCGTACCACAATTTGGCTCGTAATAAATAATTCGATTGGTTAGTTAACTCTCAGGTTCTTACGCCAGTGATTTTTATTCTTTTATTGCGTAACTTGAGATTCCCTATAGCACTTATTTGACATACTTATTTCACATTAGTACACATGGAAAATAATTCAACTTTTTTTTTCTTGTCTTCCATACATAAATGTATATTAGAAAATATCAAACATCTGTAAATAAACATTGAATCAAGACAAGTATATGTGCTCCTAAACCGGCAGCTTTCGTTTCACTTCTATATCGGCTTACAAGTCCACCAAATTATTTATTGTCAGGTCCAAAGCATAAGGTATCGAGATTCAATATTAAAAAATACATATAATTATACTCTACTGTGTACTACTTACGTGTCGAATTGTTGACCATTTTATGGAAAATTTAAAACGCTAGTTATGTTACAACACAAGCTATTTGTGCGGGGAAGGTGTATCGTTGAATTCCCGTCATACTAACAGCCAACGGTTTCCAGCCCATTACTGCTCAAAACCTTTATTTAACGCTAGACGTGATGCATCCCACCGGAAAAGCTTCTTAGAACGAGTAATAATAATATTATGTACGCATGTATTTATACATAAGCACACACAATTAGTCGATAGAAAAATCTACAAATCTAAACGAAGGCCGTTATTTTTTTTCTTGTTAATCGCTTACGCTTCTAGTTTGTACCAATCGATCGCGGCGCCTATCACTGCAATAAAACACGTATTCCCGCGTAGCTCCTTTATTTTTTTTACAACCAATCGTTAATATCGAAGTTTTTACGACACTGATGCTTTATTACTATTTTTTTTAGTGAAAAGCTGTTTACGTAAAGTCGGTAACATGTTAATTCGGTCAATAAAATTGAAACAATTTCAAGTGGTATCAAACTGGTTGCTTTTATGATTAGGTCGGCATTTACATCGGGATTATATCCGTAGTAAATTATAGTTCAAAATACGGGCCGTGTTGAGCATAAATGTATCTTATTCGGTTTATTGAATACTATAAGTGTAACATGGGATACATTAATAATATTGTAGCATTGAAGTCTCGCAAGATATTATTTATTAATTTTTTTTTTTATTAATACGCGTTGATTAAATAAAATACATAACAAAAAGTTACTTGAATGTTAAAAAAAAACGTGCTTTAACTTAGTCTACGAGTTTAGGCAATCTAGACCTCTTTTAATTTTATTTAACCTTGAACATTGGTTTCAGTTTAACATATAATAAATAAAAACAGACATAATGTGGATTTTTATGTTAAAATCTATTTATCCATTCTATTTCAAACCTTCGAATACAGTAAACAATAACCTAACAAAAATAATTAAGCTATTTTTAAATTACAGTATTATATAAATAATTCAATGCTATTATTACAAATTAACAATGTAGAATTATAAATTGGTCTCATCGGGGAGCAACGTTAAGGGTCGCTACCCACCCAACTGTGTTAAGGATCTAGAAATTAATTATTAAAAACCACTGTTCTCTTACAACACGTCCGAACCGACCATTAGCAGATATCATTCACATCGGAATACGCCCAATTATCGGTACATTTATCATCGCATGTTATTTGTTTTGACGAACGTGTAAGCAGCGGGTACGAGCTTGTTTCCTTTAATTATTAATATTCGGTTTTTTCTGACATTCCGTTGGAAATTTGGCTTTTTAACGAGCAAGTATAGTGAAGGGACCACCTGATAACTACACAAAAGTTTAACGCATATTAATGTTTTTTATTTGTCAGACGTTTTACTGTGAATCATAAAGTTAAATATGATCATTTTTCGACTTGATAATAAAATAATTGTAAGTGGAAACGTAGTGCATAAACAATTGTCTAGACAGACATATGTCTAAGTTGTTCGTTTCCTCTTTGTATAACTGTATGGTAGTCCATTTATCCAATTATTACTCTCAGTTACAGTAATTAACACAATTTCTGTCTTTCAGAATACATCGTTATATAATTTCTGGCGGTAGTTTAAAGCCCGTGAAACGTGCGCCTCGTCTTTGCTTTGAAAGCGAAATAATTATTCCAGACACCTTCATTTACTTTGGAGCACTTACTATTCTAGTTCATTGGCAAGATTATACTATTTAACATTATTGATAGACAGAAACTTAAATAAATTTTTCACATTCCTAAATAGTATGAAATAACAAAAGATTTTAAGCAGAACGTAAGTAACAAGTTCGTTGGCATTACTCCAGTAAAACTTCAGTAAGTATGGGAAGTCGGTGGATAATGCTAGCAAAAAATCAATCGATCGCAATCCGTGAACCAAAAACCGCATTGCGGAGGTGTACAATCAAGTTGTTCACTAATCCCCGCACTTCCTCTCACCAACAATAGCCGTGGAAAAAGTTTAGGATGTGGCGACGCGCAGACAGTGACCGATACGCTACAATGCGACTATATACAGACAGCCGTCAAAGTTTCTCACCTGTTAAAAGTTTGATTGCGCTGGCTTAGCAAAGTTTCAGAACACTATGCAATCGCTTCCTTAAACTTTCAATAACTTTGACTGCCTGATATATAATAATATTTCATTTTACATTAACATAAAAGCAATACCTAGGTACACCGTAGTATTTATTGGTATTAAATCAAATAGTTTATTATTTGCATTTCGGATAAATCAACTATTACTCGTAATAACTCTGCACATAAAGATTTTAAAACATGGTAAGGTATTTGTGATATTTTCATCAACCATAACCTTTCAAAAATCTAGTGTATTCATGTTTAGATATTACAGCAAGTTGGCAAAAATTCCATCCCCCATCATAACAATCGATTCATGAAGTTACTGCGCTTTAATAAAACTTTGTAACCATCATCTATTGAAACTAGTTAGACTTGATCGGCAAATCATGAATGACGCATTGTTGACACCTTAAATTAGCATTGCGAATATATTATACATCGGCGAATAAGCTAAGCGAACCGCGAAATTATAATTACAGTAACTAATAAAAGAAATGGTTATTTTTATTATAGTTATTGTTTCAGAGCTACTTCATAGGGGTGATCTGTCTTCGTCTATGGAATCGTTAGCATACGATTCGTCTGTGGCGTCACCTGGCAGCGTCTCGAGCCACACGCAACGTACCAAGCGAATGCGCACAAGCTTCAAGCATCACCAGCTACGCACAATGAAGTCTTACTTCGCTATCAACCAAAACCCAGACGCCAAAGATTTGAAACAGCTGGCGCAGAAAACTGGTCTATCGAAGAGAGTCTTACAGGTCAGTTGAGATATCTAACTTTAAGTGAACGAACAGAAAGGAATTAAGGATTATTCAAGAAGTAGTTATTGATTTAACCTAACAGAGCTTTTCTCTGTCCCGTCGATTGTTGAATCACTCATCACTAAATAGGACTCGTATTTTTTTCCAAATTTAGAAATCATAAATTAATTCGACAGGTGTGGTTTCAAAACGCCCGCGCAAAGTGGCGACGTAACATCATGCGACAAGAATCGAACCAACACGGGCCGATGGCCGCGAACGGCAACCCGGGCCACTCGGGGAATACTTCTCTTGTACCAGGGCCGGTGTCGACAAATGGTGTCCCTTCTGCCATGATGCTTGGGGAACCTCTCCAAGGTTTAGACGACTTGAGAGTGCATACTCCTCACCCGATAAGCTTCAACGAATTGTATTAGTAACCCTTTTCTTAAGAGGAAAGGATGGGAAGGAACTGGATTTGACGGTGGAGGAAATATTCTCTTTACGTGCGTCTCCTTCTCCGTCAATTAAGGGTAGGCAACGCATCTGCAATTGCTGATGTTTATGGGCAGCGGTCGCTTTCCATTTCGGTGGATTCAGGTTGCTCGTTTGCCACCTTGTATTATAAAAAAAAAAATTGTACCTAATAAAATCGAGTGATATATTCTACTCGCTTTGTATTCTTTCGGCACCAACGACTATGTAGACTTGTTAGATATGTATATTTATCACGCATTATTTTGTAATCATATCACTCTATCATCTAGGAATGCCTTTTAAAAATGCATTTGATTATAATAAGTTTGCTAACACTAACATATTTTGATGATATTATCTTCACTACATGTCGTTAATTATATTCACATTAACTAATAGTCATGAAATAAGATATTGGAAACTTGGTGATAGTAGTCCTAAAAAGAGTACTCCTCTATGCCTTTCATTAAAAACGCAATAACAGACCAAGTTGTTTCCTCGAAGACACTGCCCTCATTTAGTATAATTATATTATAATAGATGTTTTTATATGCTTCAATGTGTATGTATTTTAATATCGATGTAGCTTTGATGATTGTCTTAGACGTCTGTATATCTAACATTCCATATTGATTTAGTTTAATTTAAGATCTTTATGTAAATAAAGTGATACTAGTCAGATGTAGTGATAATAAATATTATATTTGTGTTTAAATGTAAAGTAGATTTCACAGAAATAGTTATTGTTAAGGTTTCTTAGCACGTGAGTATTGTATGTTATGCTTATATTTAATTTAAAATGTATGTAACTTCACCTTTCGTAGAATATAAATGTATGATGAATATAATTCTAGGGAATTGCGTCATAAGGTTCTTTAAAATGATATTTTCTCTCAATGTAACACGATCACCATTTAACATTTAAAAATTACATTTGTTAGAAGGATTTTGTTTTCATCTACTTTGTGTTTAACATACTCGTACTTACATTCCAGTATTAATAAGTGTAAATTTTAAATGCATTGATTTTTTAAACAGAATGAAAAATGTATCAATGCTTAAGAGAAAAGAATCTTCTAAGAATATTTGTAGATGATTGAATGCCTAGTATTGACTGCCGAAGGACTAGCCTAAAATCTCAAATTGTCCAGATAAAAAAAAATACAAATGAAATTTCTTATTACTTTCCACTATCGCCGTAAGTAAAACGGTGAAATTGTTGGTATTACTTAGGACACTTGTACGTATCGTATAATATTTCTTAGTAACCGATCCAGACTGAATTTAATGAACTTAATAGTTTCTGGAAACATTCTTCAATAAAAACATATTACAAACTAATGAGGTTTTCTAGAAATACTGTAGAGAATTTAGAAATCTTACGATAGGTCTTTTTACTGGTCTATAGTCGTATTTGATACTAAAACTTTATACCTTAGCTGGAAGTAGATATATCTAACTGTAAGACGTGCACTTTAATGTTACCTATTTTTCTTATTGATTTAGATTTAAATGTGCCAAGTTTTAATTAACAACTGAGGACATTTTTTTGATTCCTAACTCTATTCATGTTTGTATCTATGCGATTGAACGTAACTGGTAAGCTTCATATATTTGGCAAATGAACCTAATGTAAAATGCAATATTTGGAACGTAAATTAATTACTCTTTATAAATAATATTACCTAATAAAGCAAAAGGTGAAACATACTACCTTATGTTATCAAAACATATTTAACATTTATGATATGTATCTCCTATATTTAAAAACCTTCTTTATATCTAAACGAAACCAATAAAATGTCTAAAACGAAAATAAATGTCGTTTTATTTAATTCATTCCAATTAATTTAAAAGTAAAGAAAGATTTTTCAATTTTAACGACCACTCCTAACAGATATTTTACAATACAATGCATAAGTATTCTTATATAAAGGGGAAAAGAAGAATTTGTTATTATTAGTACAATACTAGAGAAATAGTCTTATTATTAGAGAAATAGCTTATAGACATACAAAGGATCTCAAACGAGATGAAAGTTCACTTTAACAGTCTCTTTCCCAGACTCAAAAGAGCTTACAGCTCGAAAGCGCGAGTATTTTGTAAAATATGGAAATGTTGCCTAACATTTTTCTAATACCAGTAAAGTACATCAAAACGGACAAATAATATCAGGCAATCAGTGTTAATTTTAGAGGTAAAATCCAAACAGAACATTTGGTCACTTTCTTTTGCTTTTGTTCTACTATAAGAAGTGGAAAGGGAAGTTTATTTGGCGGAGGAGGGTCCCATACGAAAGGGAAAAACCTCTTCCGCCGATTAAAGGTAGGCAACGCATCTGATAGTGGATGTATCGGGTACCGCTCGCTTAGCTTTTTCGACGAATCCAGGTGGCCGATTGCTTCCTTACCACTTTATGATTTAACGTAACTTTGTGACTCACATCAGAAAAGATAGTCGTCAGAATGTTGTTATTTCGTCGCAGCGTAGCCATCTCATTAAAATATTGACATCCCATTATAAATCTAATGGAAATATGTTAACAAGATGACGTAGTCTGCGATTTTCGGTAGCATTCGATACGATCCCGTCGATAAATCTTTGACGTATTCATCCATGTATCTCCTCAATCCAGGAATCGGTCCACTTTTAGTTCTATAGTTATTTTAATGAGGGACAAAACGCCTGTTGCAAGACGTCCCGTTCCGCGATCTAGTTTCGAGATATACAATATTGTCAGACACAAAGAATGATAGAGTTCAATGTACTAACTTTTACTTCTATAACTATAAGGTACATCGAAGTACTTCAAAAAACAGGGATAAAATTATAATTTCAATTACATACTAACATACTTCTAAAAAATATGATAATGGTGAGCTGTAGAATCTCTTACATTCTTTGGATTAAATTCATTCCTTTATGATTTCTATTACAAATCTTTATTTCTTATGTGACTTTCAGTTACCACTGCTGATAAGCATGTGAAACAACATACTGTGCACAATATATTTAATATACACGTGCCCCGCCACTATAGCGTAGTTAATAAATAAGCATAGTTTCATACGCTAATTAACAGAACCAACTACGTAATTGCAAATTATATACTTTTTAGAAAAGTAATCAGGTAACAATTTATCTAAATATATTAAGATCTAAGTATCTTAAATTTTAATTTTAAAGAAATTAAATCAGCATAGTTTCGAAGACAATATTCTCGATTAAAGAGTTAATAGTGAAGACCTACTTGTTGGCATACTTTTAATTTCTTAATTTATCATGAAGAAGAATAAAAATGCCACATGCCAAATGCGAAACGTCAAAACGTTTATTGTCATCATCGCAGCATGGCAGCGTCCGGGTGACGTAAAAGAAACCAGAACCGACTGATTTATTAACACAGAGACGTGCACGTTTTCGTCGCACAGATTCATTATAAAATGTACAAAAGCATGCGTTCCAAGTCACCTGAGAAGAGTGGCTTGCAAAAACTCGCCGTCCATACAACATACAGAACCGAGACCGACTACAATCCGGAAGCGACGCCGCAGTATTTTCAGGTTATGTACACGGAGTCTTATAAATTATTTATTAAAGGCCCTTATTGGTAGGAACGCGAGTTTGTGTTTTTGCTGGAAATACAATGGACGCCTGACGTGGAGCCGACCGGTGAGGCACCGATGTAAATTGCCGCCTTAGCGGTTTTAATTGAATCTTTTTATGTGACATTTTACGTTTTTAATATACCAGGGTACTGTGAGTTATGAAATTATTTAAGCGACGAGGTCCACTGATTTTCCGTTTTGGAATACAGATTCTTTTAACAGTTTTGATTTTTAATATTTTTTGACACTTGAAATCTCGTGTTTCATAATAATCAGCTCACTATAATGCGCACTGATGGGCTTGGCTCCTACCCTAAATAGTCAGTGACTATGCCATAGTCAACCACGCTAGCCTACTGCGGGTTGGACTACTTCACAAATATCTGTTCAATTTGAAAACAGAACCTGCAGATTACCAGTCAAGTTCTTAACCACTAAGACAGCGACGGTCCGGATTATGTTTGTTTACTATTTTAATAAATAGTTTTACTGCTAAGTCTAAAATGTTTTCTATACTCCGAATAGGTTTCTGTGAATGTGTTAGAAGCTAAAAAGCTAGCATGGCACAATCCTCAGTCAGCGAATTCCTACGTTATAATTGTTCTCAACAAGAAGAAACATCGGACTAGCATTAGAAAGAATATGACAGAGCCATCATATAGAGAAGTAATGTTTTTTTGTTATTGGACTACATAAAATATTTTTAATGCATTTATATACAACTTTTCTTCATTATATCATCAGACATAACACACACGAAGACAGAATTAATTGAATTAAAATTAATAAAAAAAGTCATTACCTTTCCCTTTTCGCACTATAAAATAAACTAGCTAATGATGATTCTGTTATTTTCCATTCATATTGTGAAATAATTGTTAATCAGAGTAAATAATACTTATTTTGTTCGCTATAACAAACAGAAAATGTAACTTAAGCTTTCGTAAAATCCTCATAACAATTGTTAACATTAATGCGTTGTGAATAATAAACAATTCCATGAAATCGTTGATCCGCCGGGCGATTGGAAATACGGTGAATTGATAGAACCGTTTAAAAAGAAAAAACACTGATAGAAAAATATAAAATACACTTTTAAATCCCACTTTAACGTATTTTTCAAAACATTGATGTTTGATTTCATTGTGAAATAGTAGTTATTAAAATGTATGAAATACTTTTATTGACTAAATATTACGTAAGAGAAAGTAACAAGCCCAATTTGAGAATGTAATAGAAAAGTAGGCGGTGTTTGAGATGGCACGCACATCAGATGATTGCAAATGCTCCTAACGTGCCAAATCAATTGCCGGATACTATAATTGTATTTCAAATACGTAGAGCTTCGTATTCGAGATGTACACGAGCATTGAAGAAATACGACAGATGTGTTTGTGGCTGGCCGTCATGGAGCCACGCTGTTGTGCTCCGCCCAGACTCCTCGGTGAAGCGAGTGTCGACTTAGGTTCCATTTGGCTGCAAACACGTATGTATTAAAAAAAACTTTGTTGAATATTTGTTTTTAGAGAAGAATGTATCTAAATATCTTAAATATCAATATGTTTTGTAGGTTGAAGAAAAAGCAAAACGTGTAATTATTGAAACCAAGAAAGTCAGTTTATACTATTTTAATCAAAATTTTATTTATTCTGTATGCAGATCATCAAGTATTTCACAAGTGGGCACAGTTGTGCTCGCCGCGGGACCCCGCCGCTGGGCCAGTGGGCTTCTTGAAAGTTGACATCTCTATCATTTATAGAGGCGAATTGCAACTATTACCAGTAATCGCATCTAACGTTGAAGAGAGGGAAGAGTAAGTACACATAATCGCCTTAAAGTAGGTTCATCATCTTCTTGCCTTATTCAACTCGCGTGACGTCCGCGCACGAGGTTTCATAAACCTTAATGCTTTGACATTATTTCCACGGTAGAACCCACTACCTGTGGTCAACTCTACTTGAGAAGACTAGTATCCTTAAATTGGGTTAATTTTCACTACTCTACTCTAGACATAAGGCACGTGGCTAGTCGCTTACAGGTACTTGAATGCAGGATGAGTAAAACAAAAGATAACAAGTGATAAGACTTAAAAACTTACAAGCCAGGGTCTTGGTCTTCCAAATGGCCTTCCAAACATGCAATAAGCTTAAAAAAACATATTTTCCAGAAGTCTCCTTCTCCCTATTGGGTCCGAACAACAGCGGGCCAATTTTCTCATTACCATATACAGCGCTTTTGGTTTACCGAACGGAACTCATTGCCATGGCGACAAGCGATATGGGAAACCTCCGTCAACATTCGTCAAAGTCGCATTTTGCGGTCTTGTGGTATTTATGTTTTTTGAAGATTCTCTTTTTATATAAGGAAAAACGTAAAAACATAATGTTACATTATAAAGTGCAATTTAAGGAGAAAATATTTATATGGTGATGGTGTAGGGACAAAAACATATAGATTAATTTCTCAATTTCAAGTGATTACTAGATTATTGTCTGGTCTTGTATTTTAGTTAGTACTTTTATTGTCTGAAAGCAATATGCAACATTTGTAAAATAACACCAGGCGAAGACTGCCATTCAGCAGAGAAGCACTCAGCCGATGTACTGCGAGCAAATATCTATGGTTGAATTGTTCCCTAACATGAATCAACTTATACGCTTCGAAGTGTGCGCAGCAGACGGTTGTTTTAATAAAGTGCTTGCAAGCACTTATTTGAAGCTCGGACAAATATCTCACGACGGCGAAAACGGTTAGAATTTATTATACACTGTAATTAGTTACGTATCTGTCTTAATCGTGCAAGTTCACCACATTTTGCAATTTTCTTTTCATTCTCAGATAAACAGATGTTTTTTTAGTAAATTGTAGAATGTTACTACATCAAATTTATTTATTAAAATAATCTATATGTAACGGTATTTCCATAAATTATATCTATAAGTTATTTATCTAGTTAAACCGTAAGACGCTATACTTATGATATGTATAGGTTTCCTCCCAACATTTGGTCCATCTCTTCTGCATATGTACGGAAGCGCTTGCTCTAACACCGTGGGAGTTACTTCCGAGGACGGGCCATTCCATCGCGGCGCTTTGCTCATATCCCTGAAGACTATTGTACCATACTATAAGCAGCATATTAGAGCTACGAGTGTTGAGCCTGTTGGACATATAAGACCGGTATTATTTTCTTAGTATTTACTTAACTGACCGAAAAATACTGTAATTAATTAATGTATTTTAGTTGAGCATCAAACTTATCGACTGCAGTATAAAATTATTTCAATAATACTTCTCAAAAAACTGTACCGTTGAATGTTGCTGGAGCGAAAAATGATGGGGCCTATTTATATAAAAAAAAGTAATTTCCTTTAGGATAACCACTGGATATCTGGAGATTACTGTGTCTTCTGTCCACTTCTGGAGATATCTATGGTCGATAATGACTTGGTACCAAAAACCTGTGGTGTTGCAATATCTATGGGCGAAGTTTACTGTGAACAAAGAGCTGATGAAGGTAATTCAATATTTTTTAAAACACTTTATTCAGTTTTATATTTAATTAAGTTTAACAGTGGTAGAGCCCGCTTTAACATCATCACACGAATGAGCCGGCTCGCCCGGTGTAACACCACGACCACACAGAAAACAGGCGTGAAGTGGAAGCAAATT